CAGATCCCTGAGTGAGTCATTTAGGTCATTCCCACTTGTGTGGAAAAAATATTACATCATTGCTCTGTACTCAGTGTTCTATTTATACCATGCCAGAATTTTAAGTACGTTTTGCTTTTTTTAGATGCTGTAAACAGTACTGGGGGGTTGTCCTAAAGTGAAGTTACTGCTAGGCCATAGAAGGAGTAGTACTGAGTCAAATATTTACAGAGTCTGGGAGCATGCTGTCTGCTGATTTAAACTTGCAAGGGGTGGGGAGAGCTTTGTTCCAGAAAGAATGGATCTGTGCTGCCTTCTAGTTTTTGATGATCCCCCCTCCCCCCCACCCTGGTTTTCCTTAGAGCAGTAAATAAAGCTGGAGCATAGCTGGGAGCATGTCTGATTAAATATTGGTGAGAACACCCCTAACCTAAATCGATTCTTTTTGGTTGTGGTCATTTCTCATGGTTCATTCACAGCTTTCAATTTCAAGCATATTACTGACTTCATTTTATGTTAAGAATAAAGTTAGTCATTCAGAATAGATTCCCCTCCTCCCCACAAGTAACTGTGCAGTTGCACCACTCTGTCCATTGCTCCTGTATTTTCTCCAGCTTCATATCCATTGCCATTGTTCAGAGAGTGCTTCTGTCTGTCTGCTTAGGTCTTCAACAAGTTAAACCAGTGGTTTCATGCCGAGACTTCCATACCGGAAATTTCTCTCGTAGTCGGTGCTGCTTTGCAGACATTTCTTTTGCAGCACACTTAAACGCTGCTGAAGGCAGTGAATTTCTCCCTCGGGTTTAGCAAAGCAGGGTGACAGTTACCTTCAGGTTTCTTCAGAACTGCAGTCTGCTGAAAAACACTTTAGAAAAGTGGTGTTCTTGTGCTTTTCTGTACATGTAGTCTTATGTAGTGTTGCTCTGGAGGGAACACCCTTGAGATGCGGCTTTGACAGACCTGTGCCTGGAGTGAATCCCACTGCCAGCAGCGTGGGCTCTGGTGGTGGTGGTGGTTGCTCTGTGTGTGTTTGGCTTTTTTTTTTTTTAAAGATTATATTATGGTGGTTACTGTAGGGCTCTTGCCTGCATCAGTACGTTGGCTAGAGTTATTTCTCAGTCAGAAAAGTTGTTGTAGGAAAGCTCAGATGAATGTGAGGTGAATAGGGGACTGCAAGGAAAGCTGTTTCATTCAGACAAAATGTGGGCTTAGTGCTTTTTCTGCTTACTCTGAATTTACGTTTAAAGTCTTGCAGGTACAACAGGGTAGGTTGAGTTTAAGAAGAAGCAGTTTTGTTTATATATTGTCTGTTGATACTGTCAAGCATCATAAATGAAGCGGAGTTGGGCAGGGTCAGATCTCCCTTCAAGAAGAACTGAGCTGGACAATGTTGTGGTGGGTGAGGAGCTGGTGTATTTCAGAGTACCAAGGACCTGAGCTCGTGCACAGAAGTGATTTGCTACAGCTTAATGAGATTGTGCATGATAGAGAATTCAGATGTGCACGTCAAACACATGGCAAATGTGAGAGAACTTGTGAAGTTACAATAACGTCCTCATTTATCAAAGTGCTGGGAACATCCATAGGCAACCACAATCTTCAGCTTGAAATCAAGGTCTTGGTTCCTTCTGTGTATTGAAGATCCCCTGATACTCTTTAAGGGTAACTGTAAGTCTTTGTGTTCTAGATGCATTTCTCTCCTTATTTGTTTCCTGTGCACCTCTAGTTAATTTTTTTTTTTTCCCCTTTGCCTTCAACTTAATTTACAAATCACACACATTTTTGTACGTTGCCCTGCAAGTTACTGTTCTGTTTGGGAATGCCACCAGGCTGCCATTTCATAATGGAGGGCTCAGATGTGTAATTTAATGTTTTATGAAGTATTTAAATGTGTGACGTTAATGCAGACTTTTGCTTTCTGTGAACTCAGGTGACCGAGTCATAGACGTAGGGTCAGAGTGGAGAACTTTCAGCAACGACAAAGCAACAAAAGATCCATCTCGAGTCGGGGACACCCAGAATCCTTTGTTGAGCAATGGCGACCTGAGTACGATGATTGGCAAGGTAACACTTAAAATACTACATTTTACGAAGTTTTAGCAGTTTTATGCCAAGTACGTGTTTGCATGCCTGCGGGGGAGCTACTCAGAGAATGTGTTTCCAAAGAGACTTTGTCTGAACTGAACGCCACCGAATGTTTCAGCGGCACGTAAAATGCGGCTCGCTCTTGGGGGCAGCAGGAAGGGCTGACCTCCTCAACAAGAGGAAAGTTTGCAGTGCTTGCCACTCTTTGGTATGCTGCTATAAATAGAAAAGCTGATGTTGCAATCTTTAAAGAAACACTGTCACTTAGCATGTGTATTTAAGATGATTCTGAAATAACAGATACTAGCTTTGAGGCCTCAGTAGTTACTACTGCTCAACTTGAGCGAACTAACATTTATTGGTAATAAAATCTGTATCAGGTTCATACTGGAGACCCAGAGATCTGTGTGCATCTTGTGCCTGTTCTTCCTGTTAACCTTAAAGCACTAAACGTAGAATTACTTCATGGTGTGAGTGCTCCAGTGTGTGTTGGAGTCGAAATGCAGTGGTACAGCTGTATCTTGCTGTTTCCCGTGAGAGAGCGAGCAAGGTTAATTGCACAAATGCGCTCCCCTTAATGAAGTAGCAACCCAGGTAAGTTTTCACTATGGGACTTGGCGTTTCCTACTGCAGGATCCAAATTGGTATTTGTGGATTTCTTGAATGTTTTGTGAAAGCTGGTCCAGTCGCTGATAAATATTAAAAACCGTTCTGCTGCTTTGTGTGTTGTGGTAAATGCACACCAGGTTTTCTCAGAAGTTTTTGTGCCAGTGGTGATGTTACGAAGAAGTAGGCGTACCTAGATACGTGTGTATACGTGTAGGTGTGTGCACTGTACTTCTCAGCAAAGAATTCTTCAAAGACATAAAGACAACTAGTGGATACTGATATGCACAGCTAATCTTGAAAAGCTCCATTGGTGAAAAAGAAACCACCTGTCCAAGGATTTTCTAAGTAGATGCTTGTGTTTTTGGCCAACTCCAAGCATTGTTGCCTACCAGATACTAGGATTCCTTATGGTGACTTTTGGAATTGCTCAGGCAAGCCAGTTTCTGCACTGCTTCATTAAGAAAGTTGGCATTGCTAAGTAGCTCGCTCAGGCAGTGCTGTAGAAGTCACTGGAGTGTTACCTTTGTAGGTTCAGAAAGGTTGTAGTTCTCAGGGCACAAATTTCTGCCGCTGATTTGGTCAGCTATGCTACAGATCAGAAATAAATTCTTTAGACAGAGAAACGGACTGTTTGCTGCAGGTTCACACTGTTGTCTTGTTTTGGAGCTGTGTGAATACAGGGTTTGTTTCTGGGATCTCAGTTTGATTCAGTATATAGGACAACCTTCTAGGTTCTTCTAGAATCTGCGTTGGAAAGGACAAAAAATATTTCAGCCGAAGTTAGAATTTGTATCCAGGTGAACAGTGACTTGTCCTGTTAACCCTCTTCTCTCTGGAGGTTCAGATCCTCTTTTAGAATATGAGGGACAGCAACCTCCATGAATGAATTAAAAACGTAAAGGGAGACGTCTGTGAAAAGTTTGTTTTTCGATGAAAACTAAAAACTACAGTTCTGGCTGTTGCCAGGAAACAGTAAATGGAGGGGCCAGTTCTGCTTCACGGAATGGTTTGTCACTCCTTCCTCTTTGAAATCAGGGGGTGCTGCTTTGCATTCCTTTCTGCTGGGGTGTGTGGTCTGTGTCTGCTAGCGGCAGAAGAGAGGCTGCTTTGCCCATGCAAGGGGATTAGTTCCTAATTGGTTTTAGTACTTAAGGGACCCATCTGTCTGAGGTAGCAACAGCCTGCTTTGTAAGAAAGATTAATCTGTCTGTGAAGAGCGGGATGAGTAGCACGGTTGGCTGTGGTGGAAGTGGGTTGCAGATCTTCAGAGAGATACCACGCTGTGCCGATACCCTGAAAGTACATACTGTGGGCTGCAGTGGGTCTGGTGACAGTGCAGGTCAGTTAGCAGTGTGGTGGTCTGGCATTGGTTGTGACTTGGTTGCCAGAATATTATAATTATTTCTAAAATTCTCATGTAAAATTCAATAAAATAACAGAACAAACAGCTTCTAGATGTGCCTTGGTATAAAGAACTCTTTTTCTATGAATCTAAAAGAAAACTTGAAGTTTTGCTATCGATCTTGTGCAAAAAGTTGTTTTTTGTCACCCTTTGTAGTTAATCTATTCCTTTTTGTAGTGACTGCAGCTGCAAGAGAATTTAGGTTGGTCAGACAAGAAACTAATGCAATCTCTTGGTATAGAATTCCTATCCTTGGATCAGATGCCTCTTTCTGAGAGCTGGCTGTAGTCAGACAGCGTGGCCTGGATCTAGAAGCACTATATTGATAGGCAGTGGCAGGATATCAAGGGTTGTGATGACTGAAAAAGAAAGGATCCTTCAGACTGTAATGAACCGGTTGTATTGGGCAAAAAGGCAGTCAGAGCTGGGGGCATTCCCCAGCTTGTGGATAACATCAAGTCAGTGAGGTGGATGATGCTGGTGATACTTCTGCTTTCTGCTATAAACCTAACCCCACTGAGCACCTTCAGAGAGTACCACGGCTGACTGCGTTGTGTTTCTTGCTCTGGCTGTCTTTGAGGCAGTTTCCAGGATTGTATCCATGATGTTTCTGCTCTCTTTGAAAGCCAAACAGGTGAAACTGCTTTGAGAGGTACCTTTCTTGGTGAGATGGTAAAGAAAAGGAGTAGGTGTCTCAAAGGCCACAACAGTAAGACACACAATTCTTACAATCTCCTTGATTTCAGTTAAAACTGCATGGCTTCTGTTGGTGTGTGTGGCTTTTTTTAACTTTCCACGAAGGGAAAGGGAATCCTAACATGGCTGTCAAGGGCTGAAGCCAACAAAACGTTGTTCCTCAATTGACAGCTCTGTAAGGGAAGTAGATGGTGTATTTAAATAGCAAACGCAGGGAGAATTGCAGTAATTTATTTAACTAGTTGAGGTGAAAGAGTATTTTCCAACCCTTTTGTATCTGTGCACCTTGAGTGCTGTGTTCAGTTTTGGGCCCCTCACTACACGAAGGACATAGAGATGCTGGAGTGTGTCCAGAGCAGGGTGACCAAGCTGGTGCAGGGTCTGCAG